AAAAATCCCATCTTGGGGGATCAAAATCAGCTGTGACCCCCCCAAAAATCCCCCCTGACCCCCCACCCAAAATCCCCCAAATCTCTGGGATCCCCCCCAAAAATCCCCCCTGACCCCCCAAAAATACCCCCCACAGCCCCTCCGCATTTTGGGGGTCCGCGCCCACCCCGGCACCCACGACAAACAAATCCTGCTGGACCTCAACATCAGGTGGGATTTTTGGGGCTTTTATTTTTTTTTTGGGGGGGTCTCTGCCCCCTCCCCCATTCTGAGGAGGAGTTTGGGGGGTCTCAATGACGCCCCCCCCCAAAAATAATTTAAATTTTGCCCCCCTCAGTTACGTGGGTGACGTCCAGATCGACGTGGAGGTGAAGAAGTTCTTCTGCAAGGCGGGGGTGAAGGGGGTGCAGGTGAGGGGTTTTGGGGGGATTTTTGGGGGGTTTGGGGTTTGGTTTTTTTTTTGGGGGGGGTCCCCAGCTGATTTGTGACCCCCCCACCCCAAAAAAGCTGCACGGGGTGCTGAGGATCATCCTGGAGCCGCTGCTGGGGGAGGCGCCCATCGTGGGGGCGCTCAGCCTGTTCTTCATCCGGCGGCCGGTGAGTGCGGCACCCCGAAAATGGGTGGGGGACCCCGAAAATGGGTGGGGGCAACCCAAAGGGTGGGGGCATCCCGAAAATGGGTGGGGTACACCGAAAATGGGTGCGGCACCCCGAAAATGGGTGGGGTACACCGAAAATGGGTGGGGGAACCCCGAAAATGGGTGGGGGCACCCTGAAAATGGGTGGGGGACCCCGAAAATGGGTGGGGGACCCCGAAAATGGGTGGGGGCACCCTGAAAATGGAGGTGGCACCCTGAAAATGGGTTGGGCACCCCGAAAATGGGTGGGGTACACCGAAAATGGGTGGGGCACCCCGAAAATGGGTGGGGGACCAAGAAAATGGGTGGGGGACCCCGAAAATGGAGGTGGCACCCTGAAAATGGGTGGGGCACCCCGAAAATGGGTGGGGGACCCCTAAAATGGATGGGGGCACCCCGAAAATGGGTGGGGGACCCCGAAAATGGGTGGGGACACTCTGAAAATGGAGGTGGCACCCTGAAAATTGAGGGGGCACCCCGAAAATGGGTGGGGGACCCCTGAAAATGGAGGTGGCACCCCGAAAATGGGTGGGGGACCCCGAAAATGGGTGGGGCACCCTGAAAATGGAGGTGGCACCCTGAAAATGAGTGGGGGCATCCTGAAAATGGGAGGGGGCACCCCGAAAATGGGTG